AAGAAGATTAAAGGAAAGACTTGCTTTACCACAGGAACAAGACATACCAAAACACAATTATATTCTTTATGTGATACTGACAGAAGAACACAGAAAGACCACTGGAATGTAAAGTAAATTTCAAAGACAGCTCAGAATATACACATGGCAATTTAACACATGATACAGGTGGCATCACAAATCAGTGGGAAAATATGGATGATTTAAGAAGTGGAGAAAACTGGTTTACTATGTGGAGAAAAACAAAACCCGATCTTTATCAATATTATATAAAGATGAGGCCTCAATGGGCTAAAGAATAAATATAAAACTATAAAACAGAAGGAATTCTATTTGTGCCTCATGGGTGCAGAAGAAGAATTTCACTTTTAGAATACCATCAGAGTCCACTGGATCCAACTTTACCTTTCTGGCTTCTTTTTCAAGTCAGTTTGTAATAATTAATATTTCAGGACTCTTATTCTTTGAGAGCATCCACAGAATAAAAATAGTAATTTATTTTTAATAGAATAAAACACATTCTACTTTGCAATTAATTACCAGATGTCCACCAGCTTTCATAAATCCAAAATACATTATGGGATCTTACTGATCTTATTTTTCCTATATTTTGTTATTATATCATAAAAGGAAGTCATTACTTATCATTGTTCATCAATTATTCAACTACGATGAAACAAAGAGAAGCCTCTAAAATAAAACAGAAGAATGATGATATGATAGGCAGAATATTGGCTCCCCAGTGACGCCCATGCCCTAAACACCAGAATGTTATTGTATATGGCAAAAGGGACTCTGCAGATGTGATTAAGGATGAGAATTTTGAAATGGGGAAATTATACCAGATTATCCAGATTAGGGTGGGCCCAATCATAATCATATTAGCAATTAAAAGTGAAAAGCCCTTCTAGGATACGGTCCATTACATGTGATTGTCAAAGAAGAGTCAGAGAGATGCAACACTGCTGGCTCTGAACATGGAGGAAGGACACCACCAGTCAAGGAATGCAGGCAGCCTCTCACAGCTGGAAAAGGCATGGCAAACTGATCCTCCTTCAAGCCCCCAGAAAGACATGCAGCAACACAGACAGCTTGATTTTAGCCCAGTGAGACTTGTGTCAGACTTCTGATGCTATAGAATTATAAGATAATAAGTGCGTACTGTTTTGAGCATCTTCGTGATAATTTGCTATAGTAGAAATAGAAAAACAACACAGATTTAATGCCTAAAAGGATGATGCAACAGTGAAATAAATTATAATCTTCCAGTTATTTTCTTTACCTCAAAGTACTGCATCATCTTTCAAAAACATATAAATGACTAAGAAACTATCTTTGGAGTCTGATTTTAGCTTTTATAGACTCCAGCTAGTAAGAAATTTTCATTTTCCACTTAAGATGATCAAGAGAAGAAAATGACAGATGATAATTTAATTTATGACACAAATCAGAAAATAAATGTAAAGAGATAACAGCACCTAAAACTGATGATGGTGACAGTAAACATATAAATAAAATCTGAGTCTTCAAATGACAATATCCTAGATGAATTTTCTCAAACTCAAGAATCAGTGAACTGGACAATACATTTCTAAGGGGAGGAAAAAGGGAAACACGCTATTCTCATCCATTAATTCATTCAACTGAAGGACTTCATCATACAATGTTCTGCAACAAGAACCTGGGTCATTTTTAAGCTAATTAAGCTAAAAGGATGCATAACAATATCCTTCATCTTTTATGATGCTTGTGCACCAAGATTTACTTGATACAAAGAGATTTTTAAGTGTGTTTAAATTCATATTAAAATTTCTAATAAAGTTGCTATTATTTTTTTCTTATTGCTGAAAATTAGTAAAATAACAAAATATAAACATAGCAAAAAGGTCTATTTGACCCAGATGGTTAATGGCGACCACTGTTTTTCTTAGTAAAACCAAAAGTTGGTATACTAAGGTATAGACCATAAAGCAAAAAAAATTAGTGAGTTTGAATACAACATCAAAGAGTTCTGTACCTTTATTTATGGTGGATACCATAAAAAAAGTTAACAGACATGACAAAATGAAAGAAGTAATCTGCACTGTATGTAATCAACACGGAATATGTAGAATATACAAGGGACATATGAAAAACAGTGGCTCTAATAGTAAACAATTCATCTACAATACAGGAGACAAAAGAGACATGGGTTTGATCCCTGGGTGGAGAAAATCCCCTGGCAACCTACTCCAGTATCCTTGCCCAGAAAATTCCATGGACAGAGAAGTCTGGCGGGTTACATGGGGCAGCAAAGAGTCAGACATGATAAAGCGACTTAGCACAGCCCAGCAGCCCAGCAAGACACACAGCAAAGCAGCACAGCAAAATACCTTCTGGGCTACCAAACATGAGAAATCTGGATGATGCCAAGGGTTTCTTGGATACAGAGATACAGAAATACTCTTGCACTCTGCTGAATGCAAATTAGTTTTATACAACCGTTATAAATAGCACACACTATTTATTCAATTTAAATCTATACATGTCCTATGCTCTATCAATTCTGCTGTTAGGAATATATCTTAAAAAAATGTTTTACAAAGTCACAAAAGAGAACAGTAACAAGAAATTCACCACAATGTGAGGCAGCGGGGAGTTGGAGACAACCTGATATCTATCACTAGAAGCCGTAACAGATACACTATACAATTTACGCAGCAGGTAGCAGCAGTGGATTACTGTACAGATAGGAACATATATGACAGGAACACATAGTTCCTGAGTTACAGGGACAAAGAAGAAACAAAAAGTATAAGGAAAGGTAAAAATTATGTAATGGGAGAAAGAGTGCATCTATCAAATTCATTTTTACTCTTGAAACCTATTATGCTATATTACAACATAAATACTCAAAATATAGGATCAGTTCAGTTGCGCAGTCGTGTCTGACTCTGCGACCCCATGGACTGCAACACACCAGGCTCCCCTGTCCATCACCAACTCCCTCAGCTTGCTCAATCTTGTGTCCATCCAATCAGTGATGGCATCCAAACATCTTATCCTCTGTCATCCTCTTCTCCTCCTGCCTTCAATCTTTCCCAGCATTAGGGTCTTTATCAATGAGTCAGTTCTTTGCATCAGGTAGCCAAAATATTGGAGTTTCAACTTCAGCATCAGTCCTTCCATTGAATCCTCAGGACTGATTTCCTTTAGGATTGACTGGTTTGCTCTCCTTGCAGTCCAAAGGACTCTCAAGAGTCTTTTCAAACACCACATTTCAAAAGCATAAATTCTTCAGTGCTCAGCTTTCCTTATAGTCCAGCTCTCACATCCATATGTGACTGCTGGAAAAACTACAGCTTTGACTAGGTGGACCTTTGTTGGCAAAGTAATGTCTCTGATTTTTAATATGCTGCCTAGGTTGGTTATAGCTTTTCTTCCCAAGGAGCAAGTGTTTTTTCATTTCATGGCTACTGGCACCATCTGCAGTGATTTTGGAGACCAAAAAAATAAAGTCTGTCACTATTTCCATTGTTTCCCCATCTATTTGCCATGAAGTGATGGGACCGGATGCCATGATCTTAGTTTTCTGAATGCTGAGTTTTAAGCCAACTTTTTCACTCTCCTCTTACTTTCATCAAAAGGCTCTTTGGTTCTTCGCTTTCTGCCATAAACGTAATGTCATCTACTTATCTGAGGTTATTGATATTTCTCCTGACAATCTTGACTCCAGCCTGTGCTTCATCCAGCCTGTGCTTCATCCAGCCTGGCATTTCGCATGATGTACTCTGCATATAAGGTAAATAAGCAGGGTGACAATATATAGCCTTGACGTACTCCATTCCCCATTTGGAACCACTCCATTGTTCCATGTCCAGTTCTAACTGTTGCTTTCTGACCTGCATACAGATTTCTCAGGAGGCAGGTAAGGGTGGTCTGATATTCCCATCTCTTTAAGAATTTTCCACAGTTTGTTGTGATCCACACAGTCAAAGGCTTTGACATAGTCAATAAAGCAGAAATAGATGCTTTTCTGGAACTCTCTTGCTTTTTCTATGATCCAACGGATGTTGGCAATTTGATCTCTGGTTCCTCTGCCTTTTCTAAATCCAGCTTGAACATCTGGAAGTTCACAGTTCACATACTGTTGAAGCCTGGCTTAGAGAATTTTGGGCATTTCTTTCCTAGCGTGTGAGATGAGTGCAACTGTGAGGCAGTTTGAGCATTCTTTGGCATTGCCTTTCTTTGGGATTGGAATGAAAACTAACCTTTTCCAGTCCCATGGCCACTGCTGAGTTTTCCAAATTTGCTGGCATATTGAGAGCAACACTTTCACAGCATCATCTTTTAGGATCTGAAATAGCTCAACTGGAATTCCATCACCTCCACTAGCTTTGTTCGTAGTGATGCTTCCTAAGGCCCACTTGACTTTGCATTCCATGACGTCTGGCTCTAGGTGAGTGATCACACCATCATGCTTATCTGGGTCATGAAGATCTCTTTTGTATAGTTCTGTGTATTCTTGCCACCTTATCTTAATGTCTTCTGCTTCTGTTAGGTCTATACCATTTCTGTCCTTTATGCAGCCCATCTTTGCATGAAATGTTCCCTTGATGTCTCTAACTTTCTTGAAGAGATCTCTAGTCTTTCCCATTCTATTGTTTTCCTCTATTTCTTTGCATGGATCACTGAGGAAGGCTTTCTTATCTCTCCTTGCTATTCTTTGGAACTCTGCATTCAGATGGGTATATCTTTCCTTTTCACCTTTGCCTTTAGCTTCTTTTCTTTTTTCAGCTATTTGTAAGGCCTCCTCAGACAACCATTTTGCCTTTTTGTAAAATGGTATGCAAAATATAGTATGCTATACTAGAAATTATGTATAAAAACACTGGATTTTTTCCTATACATTATAAAAATAATAGTAAGTACTAACTTGCTGTTAAATATAAACCCTTTACAAAATATGCATACTTTAATACAAAGAAAAAATGTCAGATACAGATCACAACTTTACTCACTTTGGCTCCAACACTGCAGCTGCCCGTGCTCCCCGTGCTCCCACTCGCAACTCCTGTAAACCTAGCTTCCAGTAATTCTTGCCTTCTTGGATCCAGACTGTGAAGCTCATCCATTGCACCTATTAAGACCAAAAAAAAAAAAAGCACACTTACATATGTATTTATATTCTTACATCTAAAATATATTTATGTAATTAGCTATGACAAACCTAAACAGCATATTAAAAAGCAGGGACATCACTTTTCTGACAAAGGTTCATATAGTCAAAGCTATAGTTTTTCCACTAGTCATGTATGGATGTGAGATTTGGATCATAAAGAAGGCTGAGTACTGAAGAATTAATGCTTTTGAACTGTGGTGCTGGAGAAGACTCCCTTGATCAAGGAGATCAAATCAGAAATCAACCCTGTATATTCATTGGAAGGACTCATACTGAACTGAAGCTCCAATACTTTGGCCACCTGATGTGAAGAGCTGACTCTTGGAAAAGATCCTGATGCTGGGAAAGATTGAGGGCAGGAGGAGAAGGGGATGACAGAGGATGAGATGGTTGGATGGCATCATGAACTCAATGGACATGAGTTTGAGCAAACTCTGAAGGATAGTGAATGATAGGGAAGCCTGATGTGCTGCAGCCCATCTGGTCGTAAAGAGATATGACTGAACAACAACAATTAATTTAAATGTAAATATAAACTTAACCAATTCTAAAAGCAGATGAATGTAAGAGCTTTAAAGGTTTTTATAATGTCCACAATTATTTATCAAAATAACCTATGGTGGATTTCCAACACTTTTCAACTGCACTCCACAGCAACAAATATATTTTCACCCAAATCAACACACCCATACATACATTTTATATTAAAAGTTCCACAAATGTTTATTACTATATGCTGCAAGCACCAATATTTTCTAGTCTATTCTAATCTATTAAAAAGGAAAAAATGCTGTTTGTGAGCTATTAATTTGATGAGCCATTAATGGACCCAAGTCCATAGTTTGAAAAAACACCACTTCTCATAATGTAATCTCCCTACTCTAAGCTTGTACAGAATTTTGCTCTAAGTGGTAATTCTATTTAAACATTTTGCTTATATATAATTCATGACTTGGATGTTTTGTTGTCACTTAGTTGCCAGGTCATGGTCCGACTCTTTTCCAACCCCACGGACTGTAGCCCACCAGGCTCTTTGTCCATGGGATTTCCCAAGCAAAAATATTGGAGTGGGTTGCCATTTCCTTCTCCAGGAGATCATTTGATCCCTGGATTGGATGTCTCCTGCTTGGCAGGTGGATTCTTTATCATTAAGCCACCTGGGAAGCGCTCAATTTGTGACTGACTGTATTTAAAACTGGGAAGACTCTTTTAACTGCCACATCCAAAGATTTTTTGGTACAATGCTTTTAGTTTCTAGCAGGTAGACACAACACACACACAAATATCAAGCAGATCACTGAGGTAACATCTATTATTAAACAATAACCCTGAGAATTAAAGAGGGGAAAATGAACTCCCTCATGTAATCTCAACTATGCAGACTAAAGCACCACAAATTCTAAAGTTCAACTAAACTCTTGAAAATCCTCTCTTCCATGTCTGCTAATTCTCTACTGAAAAAACTTTAGGAGTGACCTAAGTGAGTCAAAGGGAGGTGGAGGATATTATTAGAATCCAGAACCACATGTGGAACATTTTCAAACTACACAAGACCCTTTTCACACACCCTGATGTTTTTCTCCTAAAAGTTAAGAGCTATTCCTATAGTCCTTAACCCTTTAAAGTTCCCTCATTACCGTCCACCTTCATCTGGAAGGAGGGCTAGAGGGATAATGGCCACCCCTCCATATTTATTAGCATTTCTGCACCTGTATATATCTTCCCTGTCCATTCTTCATTCTTCCATCTTAGATAAAAAGGTAGCTAAGTCCCCAAACCTAAAGCCTTCATTTCTTGCTTTTGATCCTATTCCTTCTTGACATTCAAGAATTTTCCATTTGCACGTATTCCTGCTCTTCTGTGTATCTCTCCCCTCCCTGCCTCCTTCTGTCTCACATAAGTCTTTAAAAAAAAAACAAAAAACTGAAGCTTGAATTTTGTGCAATTAATATCAGAAAATTTAATTATTTCCTTAAACTGGTGATTTACAACCCTAACTAGTTTTAGGTACCTAGAATCTGGTTTCTATCCTAAGTATACTCCTAACAATGTGCTTTCAAGTATCACCAGTACCTCCTTTTTCCCCTGATCCTGCTGCTACATCAGAAATAGTCACTGTCAGGGGCTTCTGTGGTCATCCAGTAGTTAAGCATCCACCGTGCATTGTGATACACCAGTTCAATCCCTGGTCCGGGAAGATCCCACATGCCACGGAGCAACTAAGCCCGTCTGCCACAACTAGTCAGTCAGCATTCTACAGCCTACGAGCTGCAACTATTGAGCCAACATGCTGCAACTATGGAAGTCTGCATGCCTAGAGAAACCACTGCAATGAGAAGCCTGCACCCTGCAACAAAGAGTAGCCCCTGCCTGCCCCAACCAGAGAAGGCTTGTATGCAGCAATGAAGACACGCCACAAGCAAAAAATAAAATAAATCTTTTAAAAAAAAAAGAAACATTGTCAGTTGGTTGATAGATATGAAAAACATTTTAAGTCTTTGATTTTTATCCATTTTCTTCATAATGATTTAAAAAGCAGAAATGTTTAATTTTGAAGTGAAAACATCTAATTTTTCTATTTATGGTTATTATCTTTCTATTACCAAGAAAACTTTGCATGTCCCGAAGTGAAAAAACATAATCTTTTTAAGTTTTATGTTTTTCCACTTAGATCTATGATTTATCCTAAATTAATATTTGTATATGGTAGAGGGTCAGGATTTTTTCCCATATGCTTTTCCTGTTTTATTAATCACCATTTATTAAAAAACAGAAGCAGCAAAATTCTGCATTCACCAATAGTTCTGGTGGTTTTCTCAAAAGCAAAATATATTTATATATATATATATGGTACTAATATAAAGACAGACATGTAAACCAATGAATAAAATAGAGAGCCCAGAAATAAAGAGTGCCAAGACCATTCCGTGGGGGAAAAAACAGTCTTTTCAACAAACAGCATTGGAAAGACTGGATATCCACAAGCAAAAATGTTAAGTTGAACCCTTCCCTAACACCAAATACAAAAATTAACTCAAAATGGATCAAATACTTGAATATAAAGACCTGAAACTGTAAAATTCATAGAAGAAAACAAGGGAAAATCTTCATGACACTGGATCTGGCAATGATTTCTTGGATATAAAAACAAAAGCTCAGCAACAAAAGAAAATATATGTAACTGGACTTTATCAAAATTAACTTCCCTGGTGGTCCAGTGGCTAATGTTCTAAGCTCCCAATGCAGGGGGCTGGGGTTCAATCCTTGGTTAGGGAACTAGATCCCATATCTGAACTAAGAGCTGGCGCAGCTAAATAAATAAGTAAAAATAAAAATTAAAAGCATTTTAAAAAAAACTAAAACACTTCTGTGCATCAAAGTGAAACGTTGCGGCTGCGAGCCATGTGCTACACAGGATTCAAGAACTTTGGAGGAGAGGATTTCGATCCGGGGCCAAAGACGACGTTTGACACTCAGAGGTTTTTGTTAACAATTTTACTACAGGTAAAATAGACAGAGAAGGCTTCTGACACACATCAGAAGGGGGCAGATAGAAGGCCACATTTTTAGCAAGCTGCTAATCAGATGAGAGAGACACCTCAAGGCTGAGGGAGTTTCACCAGGCCCTTGTCTCACAATATGCATTTTTAAGATAGAATACCACAAGGTGTGTGATTCCCGGTCCCCCCACCCTGAAAAAAAAAAAAAAAGAAAAGAAAAAAACAATTGACCTGAATACTGGTTTGTTGAGCCATTATCAGCCTAGGTTTGAGAAAAGAAAAAAAAAAAAAAAAGGTTAGTCTTAGGCTGAACTAATTTGAAGAAAGGCAGACTGCAAAGCAAATACATAGTTTCATTAACACAGCTTAAGGAAAACATTTACATAAGAAAAACCCACTGGTTATAGCTCAAGGTTTGAGGAAAGTTAGATTCAGGCAGAGCCAGGTATCCTCAACAGAGAAGGGAAAAAGCCTGCCACTTGTGGTGTATTTCCTCCTGGCACTTGGGAACTTCTGATCTTCCTACCTGTTAACCCTCTCAAAAGGATACTATCAAGAAAGTAAATGAGAGAAAACATCTGCAAGTCCTTATGTCTCATAATGGACTGCTATCTAGAGACTGCAATGAGAGAAACCTGGGTTCAATCCCTGAGTTGGGAAGATTCCCCTGGAGAAGGGAAAGGTTACCCACTCCAGTATTCTGGCCTGGAGAATTCCACTGACTATAGTCCATGAGTCGTGAAGATCTTATTTGTACAGTTCTTCTGTGTATTCTTGCCACCTCTTCTTAATATCTTCTGCTTCCGTTAGGTCCCTACCATTTCTGTCCTTTATTGAGCCCACCTTTGCATGGAATGTTCCCCTGGTATCTCTAACTTTCTTGAAGAGATCTCTAGTCTTTTCCATTCTATTGTTTTCCTCTCTTTCTTTACATTGACCCCTGAGGAAGGCTTTCTTATCTCTCCTTGCTATTCTTTGGAACTCTGCATTCAGAAGGGTATATCTTTCCTCTTCTCCTTTGCTTCCCCTTCTCTTCTATTCACAGCTATTTGTAAGGCCTCCTCAGACAGCCATTTCGCTTTTTTGCATTTCTTTTTTCTGAGGATGGTCTTGATTCCTGTCTCCTGTACAATGTCATGAACCTCCGTCCATAGTTCATCACACACTCTGTCTATCAGATCTAGTCACTTAAAGCTATTTCTCACTTCCACTGTATAGTCATAAGGGATTTGATTTAGGTCATACCTGAATGGTCTAGTGGTTTTCTCCCCTTTCTTCAATTTCAGTCTGAATTTGGCAATAAGGAGTTCATGATCTGAGCCACAGTCAGCTCCTGGCCTTGTTTTTGCTGACTGTATAGAGCTTCTCCATCTTTGGCTGCAAAGAATATAATCAATCTGATTTCAGTGTTGACCATCTGGTGATGTCCATGTGTAGAGTCTTCTCTTGTG